GAATTGTATCGCGATATATGTCGATCGATTGAGTAGAAGACAAAATTAGACATTTTTTTTCAATTGATCTTCCATTACAAATGGTCACTTGTCACCGAAGACACATATGTGTATAAGATAATGTTATCGTGCAAAAAAAACTTATTCAATAATACATTGTGTAACAGATTTCATAAGAGTTAGTGTAATCTTCATATCTTTGGGCCCCAGTTGAGAATAACATGTATTTATAGTCTGTTTTGAAAAATTCTTAATATACAAAACTATCTTTTTTACAGTCAAGAAATTTATTATTCCAAAGAAATGAGTCACAAATTATAAATTCATTATTTTAAAAACGAACTCACTATAGTGAGTAAAATATTTTACGATTGATTCTATTGTTTGTATAAAATATCGATACCTATCTCTATTACAATATAATATAATATTATATATTAACAGTGACAAGTCTAACAATGTATATCTCATAACAAATAAAATATATAAACATATAAATACAAATAATACATATTTATTTTCTGTTAGAACTATGTAGTGTGTAGTATGTACACATCGTATGCTTATAATTGCTAAATTGACACATTATTTTCATACATGTGAGACGAAAACAGTGGTGACAGTCCATACATGATTACTCCTATGACCTATACAATATTACGATACATAGTAGATTGTGGTTAATAAGTGTGACATAATAGTCAACGTTTGCATCAGCCCTGCGTTTGAATTAATCGAATACTACTGAATTGTATAAGTTCTTCATTGATTTGCACAGTTTGTACGAATGTAGAAAATGTTAAATAATAATACAAAATAAAATACAATGTACATATCTTAAATAATAATATAAAATGAAATAAAAGGTACATATTTATTGCAACTCGTATAATTCGCGATAAATGTGATCAAACACGCAATCGCCATTACCGGATAGCATTATACATATGCGCATGAGCGAATATCAGTTTTCGCGTATAGATGTAGTTAACGTCACCACTTGCTAGCACTTGCTTTGCGTCCTGATCCAAAGCAATCCAGAGTGATTCAGAGCATCCACGTCCAGAGGTGTCCGATAGATAATAGAGTTGATTGGAACGTGGAATAGGTCTATGTTTTATTATATTGCAAAAAAATGGCACAAAGTACAAGACTCATGTCGCTCTCATCTATATATACCTTATTTAAAACCAATTGCAATGTTAATTCATATACCGTTAGATCAATGAGGTAAGATTTATATTCAAAAGTAATTAAGTGACCTTTTAACCTTTGCATTTTTGTAAAATATCAATTTCTTGAAAAAGAAGTATGTAATATTAATACTCGAATGGTTTCTCTATATATTTGAAATGAATACTTAACAATTTATTAATTAAAGCTAAATTAAAATCCTACTAAAATCCTTTTTCCTTGTATGTATTGTATGTATAATGTATTCGATACATTAAGAAATTTTGTAAATAAAGTTTTTTTCCTGAATAATGAGTTTTTTGCTAAATTAAAGATTGATAAGGATATTTTGAAATTGTAAAGTAATACTAAAACAGCTATTTTTTTGTGTTGTAGTTCATGGTGGTCCCACATAGAAATGGGTCCACCTGATGCAATTTTGGGTATTACAGAAGCATTCAAAAAAGATCAAAATCCTAAAAAAATTAATTTAGGAGTTGGTGCTTATAGAGATGATAATGGTAAACCATTTGTCTTACCAAGTGTCCGAATGGTATGTAGCACAAAATTTAATTTTATTCATAATACATAGATTTTGAAGAAAATAACGTTTACCAAAGATACAATCAGCTCCATAACGGAATCAAATTAATTGTAGGCAGAAGAAAAAATCAGAAATAAAGAAATGGACAAAGAATATTCACCGATAGCAGGAAATGCTGAATTTTGTAAACATAGTATTAACTTGGCACTTGGTGATGGTAATAATGTGGTTCCAAATGGTTTGGTATGTGTATTATACATCTTCAAGTGATGTACAAAAGTTCTTTTTCATGTATTATAACAAATGGTATTTTACAGAATGCTACTGTTCAAGGAATTTCTGGAACAGGTTCACTTTGTATTGGGGCAAATTTTTTATCACATTTTTTTCCTGGCAATAAAGAAATATATTTGTCAACCCCTACATGGGGAAACCATGTTCCTATATTTAAGCTTGCTAGGATCCCAACAAAATTCTACCGTTATTATGATCCAAAAACTTGTGGATTAGATTTTCAGGGTGCATTAGAAGATATATCTGTAAGTAGTGTATAAACTATATGAAGTATGTTATGTATTAATACCTATAGGTAATGTTAGCATTAATATTCGTGATATTACTTTTTATAGAAAATTCCAGAGGAGTCTATTATTCTTCTTCATGCATGTGCACATAATCCTACGGGTGTCGATCCTAGTCCAGAACAATGGAAGGAATTGTCAGCAATAATAAAGAAAAGAAACCTTTTTCCTTTCTTTGATATGGCATACCAAGGATTTGCTTCGGGTATAGTGAAAAATCAAAATCAAACGAATAAACAATTGAGTGAATATTCTTAAAAATGTTTATATAAAATTTTAGGATCTATACAAAAAGACTCTTTGGCAATTAAATTATTCCTCGAGGACGGACATAGAATTGCTTTAGCTCAATCCTATGCTAAAAATATGGGTTTATATGGTAAACATAATTTTATTATTTAATAATAGTATAATGAAGAATGCAAATTTCTAATACAATTTTAAATAGGTGAACGCGTTGGTGCATTTACATTGGTCACTTCCAGCAAGGATGAAGCAGACAGGACACTTTCGCAATTAAAGATTTTGATTAGGCCAATGTATTCTAATCCTCCTATTAATGGCGCCAGGATTGTTACTGAGATATTAGGAGATTCTCAATTGAGAGAACAGTGGCTCCGTGATGTGAAAGTAATGGCTGACCGTATTATTTCTGCTCGCCAACAATTGAGTGGTAATTTAAAAAAGCTTGGTAGCTCTCGTAGCTGGATACACATTACAGACCAAATTGGAATGTTTTGTTATACTGGTCTTAAAGCTCCTGAGGTATAAGCAATTTTCTTTGTTTTCATTTTCGTTCGTAATACTTGTAATACATATCAAGTTATTCACAATAATATTTATTTACAGGTAGAGAAACTTACGAAAAATTACAGTATTTACTTGACAAAAGATGGCAGAATATCAATGGCTGGAGTAACATCAAAAAACGTTGAATACCTTGCACATGCTATGCATGAAGTTACAAAATAACTCTATATTTCCATGAATGATTAAGGAGTCGAACCACATTTTGCCTTGTAATATTCAAATATACACTCCATACATAAACAATACTAGAATACAAATACAAACTTTAAATATAATGCATTTAATCTTGCATGCTATTTTTGTAAAAGCACTGCAGGCAGTGTAGATACCAACTGAAGCCTAGATATTATGGTTTTGATCCATGGATGTCAATCATGTTTAGTATAAAATAATTCATCGGCGTGACTGTGCCGATCTTCTACATAGTAAAGATGATAACATTTTAATTATTAATATATTCTACCATGTATTCGATTACAATGTAAAGAGATATATGATATTTGATTGTTAGTAAATTATAATTTTGTATATAGTAACAAATACTCAATTATCATGTAAACAATAATTTCTTGTAAGATGTATTAAATACCAGTAAAAATTAATTCAACACTTTGTAATGAATTGGATTTATTACATATTAATCTTAATATAATTAATCAAGTTTGCGCTACTCTATTAAAATTGTAGATCAGAGATCCGTATCTTATTTCATTATCTAATCTCTCTACGATTAATGAGATCAAAATTTGACATATACAGGGTGTCCCAAAAGTCGGGGAGGAGCCGGAAATGGGGGGTAGCTGAGACGATTCTGAACAACAATT